TTACTTGCATTCTGCTTGCAAACTGCACTGTTTGATGTCCCTGGGCACTCGTTCCCTGTTTGCTTGGGAAGTCTCCTTTCTATACCCTCCTGGGCCTGGACTGGCTCTACTCCCTTGTTAGGGTTTTTGTCAGACACAGGCAGCAGTCACTCAGTTAGCAGCTCTCTCAGCTGCTCAGCGCACATGCCCAAGCACACAGCACCAAATAAACACTCAGCAAGCCAAACACATGGACAGTCCTGGCTTGCTTATCTTCCCAGAGCAGTATCTGGTGCTTGGTGCTGGCTCCTCTTCCCCTTCCTCTTCCTTCTCTTGCTCCCATTTTGCAAGGTTTTGCTTGCAAAATGCCCTGTTTGCTACCTGTGTTCACTTGCTCGTCTTGCCTGATTCTGAAAGATATAACTGTAGGGTGTGTGTGTACCATCATTGGGGCAGTCTTAGCCTTGCTCTTGCACACACCAAACCTAGATGCAAAGCAGTGCAGCTGCAAAGATGATTTTCCTGCCTCATTTCTGGGTTAGGTGCATGCAGGGCAGACACAGCTGGGCAGGGATGGGCTTCTTGGTGACATGCCCCCAAAACAGTCTAGACATCCCCCACGTGTCCTGGAATTACATTAAACAAAGAAGATTCTAAGACAACCCCTGGGAAAGCAATCTTAATGACAAAATAACATGAGCAGATAGCAGCCCTGTGTTGCTAAGGCTTCTCATGCACCTAAGCTTTATAGCTCGTAATGCAAGCTACCAAGTGCAAACAGCATCATGTCCTCAAATGAACTCTTGCCTAAAGGAAGTAGTGGAAACCGTATCAGTTGAATCGGCTCTCTATAGCTGTCTAAATACTGATATCAGCACGACTGTGTATGAACATGAAGCTAAACACGCGTGTCTAAACAGCTAAACATGGTTTATAGGTTTGGGGCCATCACCATGATGTGCATAACAACTGTATCACCAGAGCCGCTGGCTCCCGTTCCTGTCCTTGGTTGGACTCCATTTTAGAAGGTGACAGAACAGATGGCTTCAAGATAGGGAGCAGTCTTGCAGGAGGGCGATGAAAGGGCTGACTGGGTCTTCCCCATCTCTTATGTCTCCTGGGCCTGTCAGAGGGCCCACGGGTCTGTGCTCCCATGTGTCATTTTCCACTCCTTCACAAGCGCCATGCTTACCTAGTGACCCAGAGCTCCCCTTCCCACCCTCCCCAAGACTCCCCGAAGAGTGATCTTTCCTACAGTGGTTTCAAAATGTATGGTTTGCAAGGGGGCAACGTGAGTGTGCACTGCCCTGTCAGGCAGCCAGAGGTTCCTGTGAATAGTGATCGTATCAGACCAAAGTCTGCCTGCCTTCATTTCTGTGAAAAGAACATTTGTTCATGGAAATGGCAGCTGAGGTTGCCATGGTGACCTGATTTGTCTAGCTATCTGGGTAGCTAATGTAATGTAATTGGATCTGGTTTGGGCTTTTTAAGGTAGCTGTCAGCTCAGTACCCAGGCCCCAAGATTTTCACTCAGATGTGACTTATTTGTGACAGAATTTTTGCCATCAGTTTTTTAGTTTCTATAAGCAGATAAGCTGCTTGGCTACTTTCCCTTTTGACTGGTCACTGTATCCAAACGGTTTGTATAAATTTATGTGCCACTATAATTTGTACAAGCTGTCTTAGCCACTAATAGCTTTGATGCTTTAATAATGCGCTCTGTCACATTTAACTCCTTGACAAATACTTGAAACGATTATTTTATTCAGACGGAATAGTTAAATGTGCCAGTTAGCATGGCAATAAAGACACACAAGTATAATTTCTGAATGAAGTGACATTTACCAGAAAGTATATGAGATCAAGCTCACAGTTCAGTAGATTTGATTTTGTTTATGGATTCCTGTATATTTCTAAAGTGCCTGCATCAGTGTGGAGCTGCAAAGTATTATTCATTATGGCATTAGCCTTTCTAACGCAAGCTAAATAGGTGAGATTAAACAGACCTCCAGTCAACCATGTTTCCTCAAAAAAGAATAGCAGGGTGTAACGAAAGCTTAAGATAGGCTTTGTTACTCTACCTTTATTCACTGATCTTACATGGGACGTTTGTATCTAAGGATCCTATAGCAGTTAACAGGGGGGTCAAATTATTAACTCAGCCTGAAGAAACTGTTACCTCATCCATATACTGACCACAGACCTTGCTAAAGCAAAGTTTCCCGTTTTGAAATGCGTGTTGTGGTTCTGCTCAAAAACAAATGGACTAAAGCAGCCCTTCTGTAACAGGTTCATGTCTAAGAGGCAGGTGCAAGGAATTGTTCTCTTTGACATGTAGGAGTCAGTGGGCGAGGATTCACAGTGGGGACTGTATCTCATCTCACAGCCACAGCTACCTGAAATTCATGACTACTTTATAAATCTAAGCTGTAGGAGTGTGGATGTTGCATGTGCTGAGCACTCTACTCGCTGAAGGCAATGGGAGTTCAGGATCCTGAGCATCTCACAGGATCAGGCCTTT